TAATAACTTCTCAACATCTTCGAGTACCGGTGATCTCATTTTTGTCAGCATATTTAACCCCTTTGCAACAACAGCTTCCTTGATTTCCTTTTTCTTGGCTATGATGGAAGATATGGTTGTACGGGATTTGTTATACATCCTGGCCAGTTCGCCCACACGTATGCCACTTTCTTATTGTTCAATGATGTTTTTCTTAAATTCAATTGTATTTCTCACCTTCTTTACCAAAGGCTTGGCACTAGGAGCTTTCTTTGGAGCCATGGTAGCTTATTTAGCGCTTGCAAGCACTAAAATGAATGGGATGTTACGAAATATTTCGTATGAACAAGTGAGGGGACCGTCGCTCACTGGTAAACAATGGCACACTAGCTGGGAAAGGAGGCAGAGGCGGCTCAGAGCCATGAGTATGCGTCCAGGACGAAGGACGATTAGCGAGTTAACGGACCATTTGCGAGCCAATGTTTAGACGAAATAACGCGGCGATTTCCGAAATGGACGACTTTCAGGCCAGACGATTATTGAGGGACCACTGTACAGTGAAGCAATGTAATTTCAGTTCAATTGACAATGAAGGCATTCTAAAGTTCGTATTCCTCCTGTGACACCAAATATGAAAATCAAAGGAAAATTTTGATTTAGGGATCATGCAACAAGCAAAACAAAATGGTCAGTATAATGAAATAAGAAATTTTTAACAATTTATGCAAAAAAAAAAAAGTGAACATTATTCACAAACACCAAAAGGCCTTATGTGTATACAGAAAATTAATACTATACTTGATAAACGAAAAATGACTTAGAAAATTAATGACTTGGTAAATAACGTAGTTCTCATGGGGAAGTGGAACAGAGGTCTTCTTCCATTAGCCATGCATGCCATAAGAGGCGATTAAAATGCCGGGAGCAAGGGGCTAGTAACCCTTTCTCGTATATACATTACTAAATTTAAAAAGAGAAATGTAAGCTTTTCTTTTTAAGTCACCCTGCCTCGGTGTGATACGGCTTGGTCATTGAAAAAAAAAGTATAGAAAATTTATTAAGCCCATTTCAGAGTGTATGGCATGTATAATCATAGAACAGGAAGAATTATGAAGCATATGGATTGACATTCTAGGTACAGTATATTTCAAATGAACTGTTTGACCCTGTTAAATTGGAATAAGATAAAGTTATTAACCCCTAAACGGTCCAAATGTATATATACGTTCTTACACATAGCACCCCAAATGTATATGTACGTTTTAATTTTACTGCCTCCAAATTTGGCACGATTGGCCTGAGATGCCTGGTCAGCATAGAATCGGTGTGCACAGTATTAAAAAAATCTGGGACCACTTAGTACCTTGTCAGAGCGCCAGTTAAATTGAGCGCTAGCTAGAGCAAATAGTGCGGCAAACACCAAGGGTTCACTGATGTAATGTCATATTAACACTCCTCTTTTAAGAGGAAAGTGATGTTAACCCCAAGTTTAAGGTCTGTTGATCTCTGTCTATCTCTATCTGTCTCTGTCTCTCTTTCTCTGTCTGTCTGTCTCTGCCTTTGTCTATCTTTCTCTGTCTCTCTGTCTCTATCTATCTGTGTTTATCTGTCTGTCTCTGCCTTTGTCTATCTTTCTCTGTCTATCTCTTTCAATCTGTCTTTGTCTATCTCTGTCTTACAGGTACACATAAATACAAGTATACATAGTATAAATTACCTAGGATAACCCAAAAATCCAGACAAAGTGCTATACTCTGCTTGAAGATGTGAGGAAACATTATGACGCAGAGACAGACAGAGAGCTAAACGGATGGACAGGGAGCTTGACACAGACAAATAGCCAGACAGAAATGTTTATGTACCAGCAAAAACAAAGCCAGGGTGATGCTCATCAAATGTCACCTCTAATCTTTTCTTATCAGCTGCACCCTCCCCCACCCTTGTGTATGCTCATCAAACGTCAGCTCTTATCAGATGTTATTTCATCTTATGTCACTGTCAGGGGTGGACTTGGTTTTTCATGCTTCAAGGGAACTTCCTCCGCTTCCTCTTCATTATATACTTCTACATATCCAAAACATTGCTGAGACATGTAAATTTTTTTTTTTCTCGACAAGTCAGCCGTCTCCCACCGAGGCAGGGTGACCCAAAAAAGAAAGAAAATCCCCAAAAAGAAAATACTTTCATCATCATTCAACACTTTCACCACACTCACACATTATCATTATCATGGTAGTAGGTTGGTAGACAGCAACCACCCAGGGAGGTACTACCGTCCTGCCAAGTGAGTGTAAAACGAAAGCCTGTAATTGTTTTACATGATGGTAGGATTGCTGATGTCTTTTGTCTGTCTCATAAATATGAAGATTACAGATATGTCTTGCTACTTCTACTTACACTTAGGTCACACTACACATACATGTACACATTTATTTATACACACTCATCTGAGTTTTCTTTGATTTTATCTTAATAGTTCTTGGTCTTATTGCTTTTCCTTTTATATCCATGGGGAAGTGGAATAAGAATCTTTCCTCCGTAAGCCATGCGTGTTGTAAAAGTCAACTAAAATGCCGGGAACAATGGGCTAGTAACCCCTTTTCCTGTAAAGATTACTAAAAAGAATAAGAAGAAGAAACATATAAATACTTTGTATATATATACTATATATACTTATGATGCCACTGGGGGCAACATACCCCCAAGGAAAAGTAGGGGCACCATTAGTACTCTATAAGAAAACACTAAGTGTCCAGGACCCAAGACCCAAGTCGGTCGATGGATCTATAATTTCCTCACTAACGGAACACAGAGAGTAGTCGTCAACAGAGTAAAGTCCGAGGCAGCTACGGTGAAAAGCTCTGTTCCACAAGGCACAGTACTCGCTCCCATCTTGTTCCTCATCCTCATATCCGACATAGACAAGGATGTCAGCCACAGCACCGTGTCTTCCTTTGCAGATGACACCCGAATCTGCATGACAGTGTCTTCCATTGCAGACACTGCAAGGCTCCAGGCGGACATCAACCAAGTCTTTCAGTGGGCTGCAGAAAACAATATGAAGTTCAACGATGAGAAATTTCAATTACTCAGATATGGTAAACACGAGGAAATTAAATCTTCATCAGAGTACAAAACAAATTCTGGCCACAAAATGAGCGAAACACCAACGTCAAAGACCTGGGAGTGATCATGTCGGAGGATCTCACCTTCAAGGACCATAACATTGTATCAATCGCATCTGCTAGAAAAATGACAGGATGGATAATGAGAACCTTCAAAACTAGGGAGGCCAAGCCCATGATGACACTCTTCAGGTCACTTGTTCTGTCTAGGCTGGAAAAATTGCTGCACACTAACAGCACCTTTCAAGGCAGGTGAAATTGCTGACCTAGAAAATGTACAGAGAACCTTCACGGCGCGCATAACGGAGATAAATCACCTCAATTACTGGGAGCACTTGAGGTTCCTAAACCTGTATTCCCTGGAATGCGGGCGGGAGAGATACATGATTATATACACCTGGAAAATCCTAGAGGGACTAGTACCGAACTTGCAAACAAAAATCACTCACTACGAAAGCAAAAGACTTGGCAGACGATGCAACATCCCCCCAATGAAAAGCAGGGGTGTCACTAGCACGTTAAGAGATCATACAATAAGTGTCAGGGGCCCGAGACTGTTCAACTGCCTCCCAGCATACATAAGGGGGATTACCAACAGACCCCTGGCAGTCTTCAAGCTGGCACTGGACAAGCACCTAAAGTCGGTTCCTGACCAGCCGGGCTGTGGCTCGTACGTTGGTTTGCGTGCAGCCAGCAGTAACAGCCTGGTTGATCAGGCTCTGATCCACCAGGAGGCCTGGTCACAGACCGGGCCGTGGGGGCGTTGACCCCCGGAACTCTCTCCAGGTAAACTCCAGGTAATAATCCAAGACAATAGTAAATGATATAGGTAGTAGGTTGGTAGACAGCAACCGCCCAGGGAGGTACTACCGTCCTGCCAAGTGAGTGTAAAACGAAAGCCTGTAATTGTTTTACATGATGGTAGGATTGCTGGTGTCCTTTTTTCTGTCTCATGAACATGCAAGATTTCAGGTACGTCTTGCTACTTCTACTTACACTTAGGTCACACTACACATACATGTACAAGCACATATATACACACCCCTCTGGGTTTTCTTCTATTTTCTTTCTAGTTCTTATTCTTGTTTATTTCCTCTTATCTCCATGGGGAAGTGGAACAGAATTCTTCCTCCGTAAGCCATGCGTGTTGTAAGAGGCGACTAAAATGCCGGGAGCAAGGGGCTAGTAACCTCTTCTCCTGTATATATTACTAAATGTAAAAGGAGAAACTTTCGTTTTTCCTTTTGGGCCACCCCACCTTGGTGGGATACGGCCGGTGTGTTGAAAGAAAGAAAGGAATAGTAAATGACCAAGGCAGGTGTAAATGTCCACCTGTCAGTATGTTTGTGACAATTTGAGTACAATTTCAGTACCTAATACTAGTGTCAGAACAAAGATTGGTTATGAAATGACAAGAACTACTATAAATTGTAATTATGAAAACATAAAAATTATATAAAATAATGTGAAAAATAGGAAAAAAGGTATATTGGCAACACTTCTGCAAGGGGCAGGACTCCATGTTGCTGTCACATGAGCATCCACTGCCAACTTCTCTGCCTCATATCTCTAAGTACTGACCCTAATTTTTTTTCTAAAACATTTAAAAAAAAATGTGCTCTTTTTTTCTATAATTTTTTTTTTTTTTTTTTTTTTTTTTTTTTTTTTTTTTTTTTTTTTTTTTTTTTTTTTTTTTTTTTCAAAAATATTCAGGGCGCTGCATGAGTAAACATATATATACGTTTGGACTGTTTAAGGGTTAAATACATACATGAAAATCCAGTACTATTTATTTGCAGCCATATATTTGTATTTAATGATGGTACTGTACTTTATATTTGTCAAGCAAAAGATATTGTAGTAAAATTTGTTAATATTGTTTAATTCATCTGACAGATGTAATGATGGTAGCAGTTCCTGGTGTATGACACTGACTAAAGTACTAAGCAACTGGATGAAATCTGAAGATGTTAACATAACCCGATTAATGGAAGGCTTAGAAGAAAATGCACTTGGATATACTGCAACGAAGCAAGTATGTACTTGAATGTTTAAGAATAGCAAGGAAAAATATTTAGACTTAAATTTGTTTAAGTTCTAAGCAGCTAAACAAAATTTGAAAAATCTCAGCATTGCCTCATAAGGTGAACTTGGATTTGTTGTTTATTACAAACCATAATGCAAAGGCTATACTCTCAGTTTCAATAAACATATTTTCACAGAACCTTCCCTCCCACCCCAATATTTTTTTAATATCAAGCAGTTAAGTTTTTACCATTGTTTAAAAATTATTAGGTGAGGATTTTTAAATTTTGTGTAAATAATTAAAAGATGCACAGATTCAAATAACATTTTTTTTTAACACGTCGGCCATTTATCACCGAGGCAGAGTGACTCAAAAAGAAAGAAGAAACTTTCATCATTCAACAATTTTACCATCATTCATACATAATCACTGTTTTTGCAGAAGCACTCAAATACAAAAGTTTAAACCTCCTTCTAAACTGCCAATATTCTAAACCCCTCATTTAAAGTGCAGGCATTGTACTTCCCATTTCCAGGACTCAAGTCTGGTTAACCGGTTGCCCTGATCCCCCACCTTACGATATTAACCCTTTGACTGTCGCGGCCGTATATATACGTTTACGAGGTACCGTGTTTGACATATACATGTATACTCATAAATTCTAGTGGCTTCAAATCAGGCAGGAGAAAGCTGGTAGGCCCACATGTGAGAGAATGGGTCTGTGTGGTCAGTGTGCACCATATAAAAAAAATCCTGGAGCACGCAGTGCATAAGAAAAAAAAAACTCCGACCTTTTTTTTTTAATTAAATGCCGATTTGTGGTCTTTTTTCGTATATATTTGTGGTTGTATTCTCGTTTTTTTGGGTTCATTTGATAGAATGGAAATATTTAAAAATGAGGTGATTTTGATTAATTTTCTATAAAAAAAACCCCTGGAAATGGAGCACAAAGTAGGGAAATGTTTGATTTTGCGTGTTCAAAAGTAAACAAATGATTCTTGTCCAATAAAATGTCCAAATAGCCATTTAATATGCAGTCATAAAGGGGGGTTTGATGTAATTTTTACAATTATTACAGTATTCAGAGTCGCATAACAGTAAATCTTCTATTGTTTTTTGAATAAAATTTAAAATAAAAACAAGTAATATCAAGGGGCCTGGAGACAGATGATGAAAAAAAAAATTTTTTTTAAAGGGGCCGGGAATGTCTGCATTGTTCATTCTGGTCCTTTTTTTAAAAATTGTATATTTTTTTTTTTTCGTGAAATTGGCCAAATTGCAAATTTCTACCATGTTATTGGGTAGTTAAAATTTGGGTAAATGGGCAGTTTTCTTGTACTCAATCATAAAAAAAAATGGATTTCTAAGAAATAGCTATGTTTTGGTGACGGGAAAAAATGGAATTACCCGAAAAAAGGGTAAAAGGGGCAAATTTTCCCCGATTTTAATATCCCGGGCCCTAACTTCCGAGAGCGTAATTCCCCGTCAGTTTTCCTCAAATTTATTTTTTTTTTTGGCGTCTTTACAATGGGGGAAAAGATTCTCTATCATTTTAAGAAAAAAAAATTTTTTTTTTTTTTAAATTTTGCGAACCGAAGACACCTCGGTTTGGGGGGTTTCGACAGTCAAAGGGTTAACCCATTCCGAAGCTCATGAAGCCGAAATTATTGTTAGCCAATTTAAATTTTTCCCCCATAAAAAATAATGGAAAAAAATTTAATTCTTTCCTGACACCCCAAAGTATGAAAAAAAAAAAATTTTTTCCCCACATAAATATTAATTTTAATACACACAAACTGAAGAAGCATGCACAATTACTACTTACTAAGAATAGAATACAGTGGAACCCTTTAAAAAAATGAAGTTCACATACAAACGTTTGAAAATAGGGACCATTTTTTGGGGCAAACTGGCCCTATTATCAACGCGCCCCTATTTTGGACGCCGGGGAGGGACCTGTCTGCCCCCTCTGCCCCATCCCCCCGGGAGGCGCCGTGAGAGTCTACTTTGTTTATGCTTGGGTGAACACTAACCTGCCTACATTTACGCATTCGTTTGTTTTTGTGCTTGTGGGACTGTGAAAAACGCCCGGGCCCAAAGAAATTTGCTAGTGGGCCCCTTGGTAAAGAAAGTGAGAAACACCATAATGTAAAAGGAAATAATACAGAAGTTGGAGTGGTGTAGACTTTTTTGAGTTTGCCCAAGTATGGGAAAAACAAGTCACCATCGGTTCTTTCCTGTCAAAGAAAGAAAAATCAAGGAAAGCGATGTTTCGAAAGGTGTTAATATAGGGAGTGGTGAGGTGCCTTCTTCAAAATTAAGGAGATTTGTGCCAGTGGAAAGATGTCCAAATGTTTGTGCAGAAGTCCACCCCGAGCAAAATGAAACAAGCCTCTTTGCAACAAGTTCAGTGACAGAACCATTCCCTTTTAGGGAAATTTAAAAGGGACCCCGAAACGAGGAAATTTTGGGCTTCTTTTTGAGACAGGGGTCCATGACTCAATGGGCCCAGTGGCATTAAAAACAAGAAGGGAGGTACCCCAAGGGGGGCTTTTCCGAAGACCTCATGGGGGGGGATTTCCCTTCCCAAAACTAACCCCCAAATCCCTCTCTCCCCCTCCCTATCTTCGATGCCATCACCAATCTTCAATAAAGTAAATAAAATGTTATTTTATAAAAATATTACTATAAAAATTAAAAAATATGTATTTGTTGTATTAAAACTGCAATTAACTCTATAAAATGTATTTTTTTTGTGAAAAATTTTTTGGGTTTTTGGAACGGATTTTAATTTTTATTTCCCCTTATTTCTTTGGAAATATTGCTTTGAATTTCAGACTTCTCGAATTTGAATAGCTCCTGGAACGGATTAAAATTCATTTTTGAGGTTCCATGACATACACTTACCTTTTTTGAAGCGGGGTGATTGATGGGATGGGAAGAGGGGAGTATGTGGAAGTTATTATTTAGAAGGGGAATCCCTTTCCATTAGCACTTGAGGTAGCAAGTCTTTTCTGGGGTTACTTCCCTTCTTCTTTTAATGCCACTAGGACCAGCTTGAGAGTCACTGGACCTCTGTCGCACAACAAATCTGTCCATAGAGCTCTGTATCTTCCGTTCCTTTAACCCCTTCAGGGTCCAAGGCCAAAATCTGAAGTGGTGCTCCAGTGTCCAAGAAATTTTGAAAAAAAAACAAAATTATTTTTTCTTACAGAATTAAAGAACATATTTTTGTGAAGGTAATAAGACAAAAAAAAAATTCTGATCAGTACTTACCGAGATACAGTGCCAAGAAGTTTGTCAAAAATGATGTGGTGGCGGCAACATCGACGAATTCCACATACGCGCATTACAATATTTTGTGGTTTTTATAGTTTTTTCTTTTCTTTTCCAATTTTTTCTATTCCTACTAACATTTGGGGCCTGGAGACCAATACTGTATATAATGTATATATTAAACTCACTGTATTGAACACAATACCACACTAAAGTATTATCATATTATTGTTTACCACTGTGTTTATTACAATAAACATGCACAAATCTTGTACATGTATATCTATGTTCTATCATATATTTACATATTTACAATTCACTGGACATGGTTTTTAGAACTGCTGGAGCTTGTGGAACTCCTTGAAACAAGGCACCATGCACAGGAGGCACCTTACATTCCTCACACATAACCGAGTGTCTTTGCGTCTTTGTTGCCGTCGTTTGTTTGGTGCCAGACGATGCATCTCTTCTGAGCAAATTTCTTCTGAGTTGAAGGAGTTGTATTTATGAAATATCACCTTCCCTCCTCAAACGCTTGGGATATCCTGAGTAATTCGAGACCTTGTTGTATAGCAGGTGTTCTTACCTGGTACTTCATTATGAGTTGTCTGACAACAGACAAAACAAAATTCACCATACGGTGGTCTGTTGCCAGTCTTTATTTTGGTACATTTATATGCATTGAGTATTGAAATGTCCATGAGATGGAAGAAAGTTTCATGTACCACTTGTAACTCTTACGAACACAGTCAACAAAACAATCTGCATGTCACATTTGTTAACAAGCGCATGTTTTGTGTATAATCAATCACTGTCACTGGTTTTCGAATACGTTCATTAGTCACTCGATCAACTCTGCCACTGTCTTGCATTCATTACGGTGAATGGTTGTCAACAATGTGACATCTCGTTTGTCATGCCACACCTTATGCCATGATGTCATTGGCAGTAAAACACCTGCACGTCATCACCACGAGCGCCTGCTTGAGCCTGGCATATGTTTATGATTAGAACGCACTGTGCCACACACATCTGTCTTGTTCACTCGCATGAAATCACTGAGTAATGGGCTTGTGTACCAGTTATTGGTATATAATGTATGCCCCTTACCAAGATAAGGTGCCATCATGTTTCTCACTACGTCACCTGAGATACCCAATAACATCTTGGTATCTTTCAATGTTTTACTACCCATGTATACAACAATATCCAACACCAGGCCACTGTCACAATCACAGAGTACAAACAGTTTTATACCAAAGCGTTTCCTCTTGCTCGGTATGTACTGCTTGAATGACAGTCTACCCTTGAACAAAATCAAAGACTCGTCAATTACAAGATTCTTGAATGGATAAAAGTATACGCTAAACTTAGATACATGAAAACATTTCTAATCTTGTATAACCTGTCACTTCTGTCAGGCCTGGTTTTGTCAGAGAAGTGCAACATACGTAAGAGTAAGATAAACCTGTTCACTGGTATGATTTCACTGAAGACCGGGGTACAAATTAGCCGATCTGTGGACCAGTATGCTTTTATATTATGCTTATAGACATGAGGCATAAGCATTATTGTTGCAAAAAGCAAATACATTTCTGCAACAGTCGTCTCTTTCCACCTGTGTAGTCTTGACTGTGGTGATATGATTGTATTTGCCATGGTGTACTCAAAATACTTATTACTTTCCCTGACAATAGTTTCCATCAATGGCTGGTCAAAGAATATTCAAAGAA